TCATCATACGATCCTTGGTTAAAACCCTTCACTCTATTCAATCCTCTCTTTTACCTGATGTCAGTCACCACCATCAACAGTCTTTCTGAAGACTTCTCTCACCCAGACCATCAAACTCAATCCTCTCTCTTACCTGCACATTCAGCACCATCACACTCAACATTCATCATATGATCATGTATTTTTATCCCTATATAACACAAAGCTTTTTTCTTGAAGGCCTAAGCTAAAGCAAATCTGCTTCATACCTCCTGTTATAGTAAAACACACACCCTTTCAGTGCAGTCAGCCTCTAATGCTATTGATACCCTTGCGAGCGTTAGATAAAATCTTACCAAATTATACAATGAAGATTTCATATTCCATTTAATCACAATAATTAAAGTAGAATCAATAAGTCGCACTTATTACAATTTTCCAGATTCCTTTTGTTCCAAATTTTTTTTTTTAAGTAATCTTTATTTATTGAGGTTTTGATATTAGTTGATCAATTTGTTACGTCTCTCGCTTGATTTTCTCCAGTTTTACTCTTTCTCCCTTTTTACCTAATTTCCAATCTGCATGTATATTAGCCGTGCCCTGATTTAAATAGGTTTAGAGCAGGCTATCAGGATATCGCTAAAATTGAAGGTTGAAAACTCTCAGTTTGAAAAAGGGTTGAGGATAGAGAGTTATGAGAGTTTTCTCCGCAAGCCAATCTCCAACTGACTTCTGGTTTGCTGTCTACGTCAATGTGATTTCGTAGCTTGTTGAAGGAAACGTGCCTCGGGGATTTCCCTAGCTAACCTGGAACTTACGTATTTGTTTCATCCTGGGAAATCCCCTGTCTATGACTGTAAGACGAAGACTATCCTTCAGACTCTTTTTCTTTCGCTTCTTTGTGCGTCATTTCTTACGTTAATCGTTTATGTGAGAATGTTTAAATACAAAAAGAGCAATACCTTTTCTTGCTTTTTCATAAAAGTGCACGCCGAGATGTGAAAAGGTGCTCTGTCGAACAGCAATTACTTTAGTTTACTTGATACTTCCTTTGAATTGCTATGCTATTGTCTATGCCATCAGAATTAGAGAGAGTATTTGACTTCCATCACACGCGGACTGATATCATTAACCGACCCACTGGGTTCTTAATGCAACAAAATCTGCTTCCTTGTGCTTGCGCATTTGGAAGCTTATCGCATTTTGATGAGTGTTTTTGCTAAAGTTTTTCGCCAGTTCGGTTTTTGGGAAACCCCTGGTTTATAGCGTACGTTCCACTCGTACGTCGATTATTTAGGTGTAGTCTTTGTAAGAAAGTCATAAAAATGGTATAAATTGTTGCAGTGGGGTTGCTGTATAAAACAGTATTATAGAAGAACCAGAAAATACAAAATCCCTAACAAATATTTTACTTCATCTGCAGTGTACCAAGTGATAAAGTCTGCTCTTTCTGTTGCTGTGGCCCTGAAAGAAGAATGTACCAAGGCAAACTCCACCTCTGTGCACCAACCCCTGGCTTTAATCCATTCAAAAAATCTGGCCATACTCGAAGACAGAATTCCACCCCAGAACCACTAGCCGCTGAACCTGCCGATACTGGAAAAGAAGCTATAGACGACGTTCCCCAGCCGCAACCCATGGTCCATCGGCGTGGTCCAGGGAGACCGCCCGGTAGGGGAAGAAAGAAAGGCGCTGTTGTAATAGGACTTTCTTTTCGAAATAACGGACATTCGTTATCTCCTGATAAGTGTATGTTTGGATCAGTCCGCGAGAAGGATGTTAGTGAATTATTTGAAAACGATGGATCGGTGTATGCACATCATTGCTGTGCTTCTTGGAGTGAAGGTGTCTGTCAGACGGATTCGTATGATCTTGTTAATGTGGACAAGGCTGTCTTCGCTGCAATGAGTGAGGTAAGATGGACTCTAAATAATGGATCTTTGCGTACTTCGTTAGGGAATCGAGGGTAGTGTAGAGCGTGAGTGCACTTGCTTCTCACCTCTGGGTTTTCAGGATTGATTCCTGGCATCGCCATCACATTGAAGTAGAATTTGTTAGATCTTTCCTTTGGTTCAAGGGTTTTTATCCGGATTATCACAGGTTTCCCCCTCTGCCAAACCGAACAATTTCGATCTATGAGTTGGCGCTTTCTTATTACAGTACCACTCTCACACACAGACCACCACTGCACTACTTAAATAAGTCTAATGTTCTCAGCACAAGTTAATCTGGTTTTTGTTCTTTTAATTTGATAGGAGCGCACTTGTTTTACTTCAAGTGTCCTTAGCTTTCGTATTTTGGTATATTTAGACTATTTCTAACGTGACTGGACTGGACTTTGATATCTATCTTAAATATGTAACATAACAAAACTTTTACGCCGCACACTTCAGTTCATCCACGGTCAATCAACATGTAACATTTACGCCGCACACTTCAGTTCATCCACGGTCAATCAACATGTAACATTTACGCTGCACACTTCAGTTCATCCACGGTCAATCAACATGTAACATTTACGCCGCACACTTCAGTTCACCCACTGTCAATCAACATGTATTACAATAGGCGGCGTAGCCTTAATATGTTCGCCAGGTCATTATGTACTGAATTATGAACCGCAAATTGACCGATCATAGCACGTGAAGTCTTGCAATATAATGAAGCTATATATACACTACAGAAGTCGCCAAATCATTGACATTGTTCAGTCAGTGTAAAATATAATAAGCTTGATCAATAAGATTTCAAAGGGAAATGTATTGTTTAACTAGTATTGTTTAAACCGGAGGGGCGAACGAGACTAAATCATGTAGTACGGACCTCAAACAATAAACGATATTTAACGAGATGAAGCTTTACGCTTGTGTTTCGTCACTGCAGACAGAAAACCCCGGAAGTAAAAGTGCGTGGGATGTTAATGCTAAAGCTTGTGGGCAGGCTGTTGATTAATAGGTTTCATTACTTTCTCCCCATGATTATTGTTTCCAGTTTATTAGTTACTTCCCTCTTCATTACCTAGTTTATTTTGGATTGTTTTTCAGCGTTGCGCGCACTGCAATAGATACGGTGCCAGTGTAGTTTGTCAAGTACCTCGGTGTGGGAAAACATATCATTATCCTTGTGCTGCAAGTGCGGGGGCCTTCCAGGTAATTGCCATGATTTATAATACTGTTATGTCAATGATTATGGCGTTTTTCAATACACATATCCCGAATTCGCTTGACTGACCACAAAACAATAGTTTCAAGTCGAGGTTGAACTAGATAAATAAAAGAATCAAGTTCAATCTCGACTTCAAACCATTTTTCGTGGTCAGTCAAGCGAATTCGGGATAGGTCTATTGTCCTTTCATAAAACTTGAACAAAAAAATCAATAACAATGTTTTTGCATCTCATTAATCTTTTATCATTCATTATCTTGGATATGAGGCTAACATTGAAATATACAAATTCCATCAAGAAAAACTGTGATTTTTTTTTCGTATTTTCATTTTAACATCGCATCCACGATAATAAGCAAGTTCATACTTTGAGAATCGTCTTCAGTGCGCGTGCGATTTTATCCCAAAAAAATGCGCAACCAATAAACGAAGAAATGATACTCTAGGGAATAACACGTGGTATGAAATGGGAAAACATATGCCTAAGCTCAGTTTGAGGCCAAGAAGGATATGATGTCTGATATTCTTTCTTTAACGTTCTTTCTTTCTATTGTAGGAAATTCAGTCGATGACCATGCTCTGTCCGGACCATTTAGACGATGCTGGACGTCTTGGTATGGACAATTCTATCTAACTATTCCACACTATTTGTTGTTGTTGTTGTTGTTGTTGTTATTTTTAAATTTAAGATATCGTTTCCTATTAATGGTGAATCAGTTTTGTTGAGTCTTACACGGAGGTCATTAATGTGGAAAAAACTGCGATCGTAAAACAATGGGTGCAATGAGACAGATTTTACTGTCCATTGTGGGATTGATTGATGATCACTATGCTCTACTCTATCATTTCATTTCTTCTTTTTAATATAGATTAAAGTTATAAGCTGCATTTCAGATTCTTAAACGCGCCAAAACCTTTATCTTTATCGACGTACATCGGGCAATTTTCCAGGATTATCATGATGCTAGATTAAATATCATTTCGAATAAATGAAATGGCGAGACTAGGTGAAAAACAAAGGAATAAGATTCTTTGCTTGAGCTGTATCATATTCATGTGTCTTCTCATGCGCAACCATTAAACAAAACAAAAAAATGATACTCTAGAGAATGACACGTGGTCTGAAAAAGAAAAACATTGCGTCCAAGCTAAAAACTTCTGTAGACCGTTTTCTCAAGGTTGTGTGCGCATCCAAATTTAAGGAACTTGACGGGCAACAATACCGGAACAGGAGCTATAAAGAGAGTTAACATACATTCCTATTCATTTTTTTTTTAAATAAGAATTCATAAATTGATTATTCTCCTCTTAAAAATATAAAACTGGCTTCTCAATTTTACCGAATTTGCGTTTTTCAATAGCGCAGCGCAACCGTGACGTCACAAAAACGAAGACAAAGGCGAAATTCGGACAAACAAACTTACAAGTTTACTTTCAGCAGATAATTTTCACAGCCGATCGCAGTTGATCTTGGTTTACGTGGGTTATTATTGTAACTTTAAGTAAAAATAATAAAATCGGTTCGTATAACCCTCGTAGCGGTTAAACAGAATGCAATGTTTGTCCGAATCTTCAAGCTATTTTTAGAATCAGTGCGCTGCGCTATTTTGTGGCCCGTCAAGTTGGATGCGCACGCAACCTTGAGAAAACGGTCTATTCAAACAGATTCAGAAGAGTATATAGTATATAGTATACATGGTATATATTTTAATGATGCTCGGTTTTTATTTGGCAGGGGGTATCGAGGCCCAGTGTTACCTGTGCGGTGAAGCCAAGGACTTTTCAGAAATGTTATTCTGCACGAGTTGTGGTCGGCACTATCACGGGCGTTGCCTTGATCCAGCGGTTGACATCACTTCTTTAGTGCGCATGAGTTGGCAGTGTCCTGACTGTAAAGTCTGTCAAGGTTGCAGGTATGGTATCTTATTGTTGAGCTTCGATAAGATGGAACATTTTATAGAATCTTTTCAAAAGTGGTATAAGAATCGCACGATTTTCTTGAACAATTCGGAATCGATAGGTACGACTGATGTCTTAAAAGGTTTCAAAATTGGAGTTTACAAATTCACTCTACGATTGCGCATCAGATTCTTGTCCAGATTCGTTTATGTATGTCATTCTTAATTTTTTCAGGCAACCTGGTGATGATACTAAGATGCTAGTGTGTGATCTGTGTGATAAAGGCTTCCATACCTATTGTCTTGATCCACCCATGACAACAATACCCAAGACTGGTTGGAAGTGCGTGGTAAGTATTACGAGACAGTGGAAAGCCTTAGTATCATAGGCAGATGAGAGGAGTTTGCTTCATTGTACAGTCTATCCTTATCCCTACAAAAGACAAGCTGATTCTTTGGGGCTACAATTCGTTAAAACTTCCTGCCTCGTAGACCATTTTTTTTACGAAATCTCGTAATGACCCAAACTTTTTCCGAACTTTGAACTCCTTAAGTTGCTTACCAACGGTTAATTCCTCGGTTTCACGTTACGTCCTGCTTCGTAGACCATATTTTTTCACAAAATCTCGGAATGACCCAAACGTTTTCCAAACTTTGAACTCCTTAAGCTGCTTACCAACGGTTAATTCATCGTTTTCACGTTACTTCTTCGTCGCTACGATATTGGTGTTATTTGACATAAGATATCTCATAGCCTCCTTTGTTAATACACCCAATATGGCCGCCTTGTCTTTCTTGCTTGATGCAAACCATCACTAATGGTATGATAAGATGCTTAATAAATAACAACAATCCATGATGTACTGAAACTGATTGTTGTCATTTTATGTAGGGTTGTCGTCGCTGTGAAGACTGTGGCTCCAATACCCCTGGTGGAGGTCCAACGTCTCGATGGCATCGGCACTACACGGTCTGCGACAGCTGCTACCAACAGAGAAACAAAGGTCTTTTCTGTCAGATATGTGGACGAGCGTACAGACAGCTCTCAGACGTAGCTATGGTTCAGTGTGAGGCATGCGAGAAGTGGCTTCATGCTGAATGTGATAATGTGAGCGAGGATGTCTATGACAAGATCAATTCAAAGAGAATGAACTATTATTGTCCGCAGTGTAAGGGAAATGGCGAGAACCATGCGGTACGTATCTGTTGCCCCCTTGCTGCACAATATAGACCTTCAGATCCGATGACTAGAACAAGTACAAGTACGAGTTTTAAAATTGATCCTGGGCGCGTGGTGAACACTAAATCACGATTTTTTACAACCTAAAGTTTCAATCTACATACACGACCACGACTACAAAATGATAGTGCCGATCTTAAAAGTTAAAAATTATTCGTACTCGTACTTGTTGTCGGATCTGAAGGTGTCTATTGTCAAACACAGAGCCTAGTTACTCGGTGTCCTGTTTTTTCGTGCGTCGGGTTAATGTGTTGCTTTGGTTGGATATTTAGTTTTCAAGAACGATGAAAGCAAATACTGAGGAATTTTCACCGGCGCCTAGGATTGAATTACGTGGTAGTACAGTATCTGTAAGTGCTGGATTTACCTTATTCTTATTCTTACTAATTTTCACCATTGCAGGAAAAATTTGACACAATCTTTTTTTCGCGCGTATTGAATTCAAATCGCGAAAATTAGTAAGAATAAGGTACTTATTTGTGCAAGCATTCTGTTTATATGATGAGTCTTTGTTTCACCAACAGCAGTTGAATCACAAGGACAGTCTATCGTTTGAAGATCAGTGTATGAACGACGACCCTGTCATGACAACGAGCGGAGAAGAAGACAAACGAACGCTTACTTCGGCTGCAATTGGTCGAATAATACCATCTCCAATGGATGAAGACCTGAATCTCATCGGCCTAAACTCCAACCTAGACGAACTGTCTTTGCGTCCATTTGGTGATTCTTTAATGGACCCAGAAACTCTTCCTCTTGGCACTGTCAGTAAACTACCCCTGGATGAAGAGATGGAGTCAGTGATGAAGCCAGATTTGGATATGTTCGAGTCATCGTCAGGTCTACCAGATTCACCTCCCCCGTCTGATCACGCTAATGAAGCCAAGGCCGCTCCAATACAACCATTTCGTAGTTTGGTAGCCATCACGCCACCCAAGACTGGAGGAAAGAGAAAACTAGGTCCAAAACTAAAGGTGAATACATGTATTACATAGCGAGTCGGAAATATTTACTGGGGTGCTTTCCATTTACACCAATCCATCCGGTTAGAAATTCATTCGCTAATGGTAAGAAAAGAGCGGGAAACTTTGACTTTAGAAAAATGGTATCGCGTCTACCGAAAGAACCGAAAAGAGCGGGAAAAGTAGATTACCTCGGAAAAGCGAGTTTTCTGGAACTTCCAGATCGGAATGACACGTACCATTTATTTTTCAACCGGAATTTCTGGTTTTTCCGGGTAAATGGTAAGCGCCCCAGAAACCTGACATCCACTGCACATGCTCAGAGAAAAGTGAGCACGAGCAGTAATAGATTCATCTAACATGGCGGCTAGAACGTGACGTTACCCCAAGAATACAAAGGTAGCCCAATGATTATTAAAGTGAATTTAGATTAAACCTGCCTCGTTAATTTTAGGCGAAGACGAACAGTACCCCTGCTAAAAAGAAAGCAAAACATGGAAAGCCTGGAAGACCGCCCACCAAGCTGAAGAAACAAGCATCCGTATTGTCCTCTCCTGGGAAAGAAAATGTGGTTTGTATTTAAAAGAATAGTTCCTTTTCTCATTCGGTAAATACTGCTATGTTTCTTGACTAAAAACTCATCTGCACATGTTTGGCCTCTCTTAAGAGCAAAGTATTTGCAAAAGTCAACTGTACTGTAAAGAATATGCAGCTTGAGTAATACCAATGTTTTGAAATCCCACGGACTTTTTTTTGTATCCGTGAAGAGCTGACTTATAAACGAGGCTAAGCCTGTGCAAATGGGTCTGTAGTGTTCAAAAATAGCGGTATGCATCGAATGCGAAACTGGTGTATCTACGAAATTCAAAATTCTAGTAACGAGCATGGACATAGATCATTTTGGCTTAAGTGGTTATATATTCTGCTATTTCCTTGAGTATTATTTCCTTGTTAGTATTGCCTGAGAAATCATTATGAACATAAACTACTCCCTATATCATAAGAAAGGCTTCGTTTTTTAAAAGTTCTTGATAAGTTGTAAGCTGATTATTTAATATAGGAAACATATTGTGATTAATTTTGTTTACTGTTTCCTGTCGTTTAGTCTGGTGCTGCAAATGCTGCAGAAAACACAGCAAAAGAAGAAGAAACCGAAGGACTTCACACCACGTTGGTGTTGTTCTCAGCTGATGACAAATTCACTACAGAACAAGATATGTGTCTGTGTTGTGGTAGCTTTGGCAAAGGTCGTGAAGGACAGCTGATTGCATGCTCACAGTGTGGACAGTCATACCATCCTTACTGTGTCGGTGTTAAGGTAAGGCCAAGATCGAATAGATTAATCCAATGTGTGTGTGTGAGAGGGAGAAATAGGACGATGTAGTAAATGTTGGGCAAGAAATTGATTTGTAATCCAAGAGATATTGAGGGAGGAGAAGAGTTAGAAGAAGG